GACCTTTAAAATTTGGTTAGATGAATTCATGTAGACCTTTACATTTTCGTAGCGTTAATACTTCTTATTTGAAATGTTAAAAAATTGATAAAAGTGCAGTCAATTGCTTTTTTTACCTTAATAACCGTGGTGTCATCCTGGTTTGCCCACATTTAATTGCAGGTTTATAAAAACATAGGGTGTTTTGTTGTTTTAACAATTATAGTTTATTTCTGAATTATAGTCATATTTTCTACCTCTATTTTACCTGTAAATATTATAAAAGATGCTTATTTCTACTATTAAATCAAGGAAAATGTGCAAAAATATTTTATAAATTTAACAGAAAATGTATTGAATTTGACAAATATTTAAAAAAATTTCATTCTGGGGAAAAAAATGTAAAAAGTAAAATGATGAAACATTTTCTTTTTCTTTTATTTTTTCACCTTATTTATTTATTTTTTTTTATTTTAATAAACACTTTGTTCTGAAATTTAATATATAAAAACCAATAAATTCTAAAAAATAAATATAAATGCAACTGTTCAGTAGCCCAGCAGTAATCTGCATCCAGTTATAGCACTTTCTTCTTTCAATTTATAATAAGTTCTATGTTCCCACTAGTGTATGTTCTACTGTCAGGAAAAGACGAGATCAACTACTCACGCTTCTTCAGACACATACTTTACATCGCTGAACTTAATCATTTACAACTTCAACCAGAAACTGTATTTATTGATTACGAGACAGAAACCAACAACGCAACAGGGACAGTGTTCCCAGGGGTAACCGTGAAAGGCTGCTTCTTCCACTTTACCCTGTGTATTTGGCGACTGGCACAGAAATGTGGACTAAAGTCATACTATAAGGAAAATGAAGACATCATTCAACTTATACGACAAGCCGCAGTACTATCTCTCAATCCACACTACCTTGTTGATGATGTTTGGCTTACAACTTTAGAAGACATTGGTGAAGCTGACACCATATTTGCTACAACATCATTTACTGATTATATGACAGAGTCTTGGGTTGAAGGATATCGCTTTTTGTGGAACCATTTCTTTACCGAAAGACCCACATCACCAACCCCTTGGAATTTTGGCACAATAAAATTAAGAAGAGACTCTACCATGCCCACCCCAACATCTAGAAGATTATCGAGTTACTCAAGAAGAGTCAGGCACTAGCAGAATGTACAATTATCCAGTATGCAACAGGAGGAGCCTGCCCACCAAAATGACGACGATACAAAGTTATAGACACCAGCCTCTAACTACTAAAATACAGATACTAACACGGACACATCTACGTGATATACTTCTCTGTCGCAACATCCCATCTTCTTCGATTGAACTGAATGACTTTTTGAAATATTGTAATTTGTGCCTTACATGTAGTGACTTTGTAAATAAAATGTTTGTGACTTTGTTAATAAATAAATGTTTTGTTACTTTTGAAATATATATAAAATTTTGTACTTTTCATCATTATACAGATAGTGACCCATATTACTTATTTTTACCATAAGTGCTTTTATTTTATTTTCTTATGCAAGGCATGTATAAATTTGCTTCATTAGTTACAAAAATTATGTTTGCAATTAAAGAAAACTTTACCATATATTGATGTATTTATACCATAATCACTAATATTTGATTTATATATTTTTTATCTATACAAATAAAAGTTGAACTACAAAATGAAAAATACCTGAATATATAGAAAACACAGATAAACTATAAACCTATTAAGTTGGAACAGACTATACAATTGTATGCTCATTAACCCTTTTGTCTTTTTTGTTTTCTTTACTAATAGATAATTGGTACAATTAAATGAGGGCAAACCAGGAGTAAACCATAACCGTGATATCTTTTTCGTAATTTATATGAATATTTAATCTTTTGTACTTAAAATCAATCCTTCAAATTTATGTTGGCAACGAAAACATCAACAGTGGGTCTGACTTTCAAAAAGAAATTTGGGGACAGTTAGATCCCTTTTGTAATTTTCTAATTCTGCATCTTTTTTTTGTGTTAAATAAATAACACCGAATTCTGAAGTTACAGAAATAATCTTTTATAATCAAGCCTTCGTATTACTAAGATATTAATGGGTTTCCTTCATGTATAACAAAGATTTTTAAACAATATGCATATTAGGAAAATAGGTTAATTAACCACAGAAAATCAACTATGTTGATAAAAAATATTTCACCATTATTCATATTATCTTATATAATGGTGAAAACTATTTAAACACTGTAATATGTATATGTATAGGTTAGACAATACTTGGTCATGTTTTATGAAGATTTAAAGCCCAAGGCGTAGCCAAGTATTGTCTGACCAACTTAGAACATATTCACACTTACGAGTGACTTTGCAAAATTATCCTTCCCCATTGTAATATTCAAACCTTAATAAGAATTCACTTTTTATAAAAGTATTAACTAGGTTAATAAAACGAATGTATACCATAGGTAATGATCATTTTAATGTATAAAATGAAATAGCACTAACATAGTTTTATGAGGACAAAAAGGATAAATTGTTCAAACATTGAGTTTTTCTTCTGCTTCAGGTAAAATTTAATACTTATATACCTTAAATTTCTTTATCTTAAAAAGCACACAATATTATATAAATCAGCTTTTTGATATTTTTATATTTTTTGATAATTATAAAACTCACTCTATAAATATTTGAATTACAACCATTCAACATCAGATGCTTACTTTTTTTATGAATGTACATGTATTGTGTTTTTTTTCTCGAAAAAAATCCTTTGATTTATACATGTATATCAGCAGTCTGACATTGTTTTCTTGAAAGGAAAAAAAATAATTGACTCGAATGTCTGCTATCAAAATTGAATAAAAGATTATTTTACCTACATCTTTGCCCCCATTTCATTTTTTTGTTTGTTATATATATGTATCATGATAAACATTTGCAAAATTCAAAACGTTTTTTATAATTCTTTTCTCTTTCATCTTTAAGGTTCATCATAACCTTTTGGCTAATATGACCGTATTTACACCACAAATTTTACTCTGAGTTCAGACAAACCTGTGCACCTTGAAAAGTTTTAAGGCATGGCAGGAACTGGATAAATAGATTTTAAATGCATTTAATGTTTCAGAAAATTATAAACTTTTCTGGATTTTGCTATTCATTTTTTTTCCATTCCTGCAGAAGGTGCCAAAATAACTTAAGTTAGGAAAGAGGTTTGAGAAGCTCCCCCCATATAATAAATGTTGTGAGTAGTATTGATTTAAATGGACAATAGATGGACAATAGACATCTGCAAACACTGGGTGATTTGAACTGTGTAACTGAGTGGACCGTATCAAATGAAACTCATGTGTTTGTTTATTTTGCTGTCATCTGCAGACTGGAAAAACATGCACATCAAAATCCAGGCAAAGTTTTAATTTTCTGGATCCTAGACTACACATACATTTTATATATCTAGGTCCTGCCATGCCTTAAAACTTTCCTAGATGCATCAGTTTGTCTGTACTCATAGTAGATTGTGTAGTGTAAGCACGGCCCTATTTTTCAATTCCTTTTGACGAACTTTAATCAGTAGGCTATTTTCCCAAGGAAAATGCCTCAGGGGATTTTACACTTCGTTAGTGTAGTTATTAAGAGTTCACTTTCATAATTAATCTACAATGAAAAGTCATTCATGAAAAGCATTTTATAGTGCATGGAAAGCCATGTACTATGACAATTAGAAGGGAAAAAACTGACTTTTCATTGGACGAGAAGGAGTTTTGTTTATCGCTGAAGCCTTCAAGGCCGTACGATCGTACGATGACCTCATATAGTCATATCATCACCGTGCTTTGGTCTTTGGTGGATAGTGGTCTCAATTGGCAATTATACATCTCCGCATTCTTATAAAAAAAATGATGTATAAATTTCGCACTATATAAAGTGTTTCGATTGATTGTTGTTTACCTAACGACCATTGGCAATGATTGCATTTTATTCGTTTTACTGAAGAAAGGGCTTACGTAGATACCAGCATCTTGTCTTACAACTGAGTAAAAAAACTTTCGTGTGAAAAAAACCCACTCTGATTCGAACACAAACACAAATTTTCTTCAACTGACACCATGCTGTTTTTATTGACAACATACTTGTTACAGAAAAAGGACATTTTTTTCAAAAATAATCGGCATTCCTGTGAGAAACAACTGTGCTCCCCTTATCGTTGACTTGCACATTTATTCGCTTGAGTCAGCAATCAAAAGAGGAGTTTTGCAAGAAAATACACTAGCATTATCTTTAAACTTATGTGTTTCACTTGCAATGAACGGACAGATGTAACTAGTGGTCCACTACATTTTAGTTTTAGGTGTATGTTTAGGTTTATGTGAACTGTTGTTTATCTGTTCGACTTTTTTCCTACCATATGGCTGTTTGTATTTCAACCACCTGTGGATTTTATTAACTTTCCTTCTTTGGTTTTTTCCCTCCTTTTTGTACTGCTTTTGAGAAATGATGACAGGTTGGACATTTTGTTTCGCTATCTTTTGTTGTATATCACGTGATGTAGATACAAAGTGGGTTGTTTGTTCTTTTCTTTTTTAAAACAATTGGTAAGATTTATTTTCTTCCTATTATGGATTTGTCAGTTCTTTTATCATTTCGTGTTTTCGATTTTGATTTTAAAGTGGGCTAGTTTTCCTACTATTTATAAAATTGGAAATTATATTTTCATCACCGGAAAACGAAGGTCGTAGTTGTGTTTACTAGTACTGTATTGCTCTCACACGCTATTGTTAAACTATCAAAATTCTGAATATTAAGAATAGCACATTTTTACGTAGTTACATTGTTATGGATTTTGATTTGCCTCTTTTCGTCTTCTGCTCTTATTTGAACAATTAAATTAGCATTGATCTACACCTGTGTATTCTTATTTATTTTTGTAATGCTATACCTAAAACATTTGTATTGATTTAGCTGATTGATACCACATAATTATATTTATCTTTTTAGATAAAAGGACGCCTTAGAGTGGTATCACGTATACACAAGAGGAAAAGATTGTCATCAATTAAAGTTTCTTTAATTTCGATGTTTGTTATTTCATTTACATATTCAAAATCTACATTATCGAAAACATAAAACATCCAGAAAAATAACTAACTGCATGAAAATAAAAAAGAAAGACACACCAGTAATCGGAGATCCATGTGATAAAATGCAGACCACGATTTCATGAGAAAAAAAAACATATGGAAAGCATTACAGGATAAAAACATGCAAGTAAAAATCGAACAATAAATCATTTTTTAAATAATATGTTTAAAAATAAAACAAATGGAGACAAACACACTAAATCTATATCCACGTCAAGGTGGTAGCTATCATATAAGTCAGTTTACAAAGAAATTAAGTAATGCAGTTACCTTATTTGATCAAAGGAATGATTACAGGAAGCTTCTATGTAAATATGCCTCCATTGACGACAAAGAGATAAACATGTACCAAGGAGCTGTAGTTATTTTAGAAACACTTTACCCCAACAGATATCACATTCGTGAATGAATCAGTAATACTTGTACTTATATTCATTTAAAAAAAACCATTCAGAACCGATATATGGGTCATTTTCAAAGATGTCGAATCTTGAAATAGCAAAATTAAATAAAAGTTCCTAATTATTTAAATGACGCTCTTCATATTAAGCAAATCAAAATAAACAATACTAACATATCAAATGATGCTATCTTGATAATGTAATACAAGAATATATTGAAACATTTTTTATAGGTGGTGCAATATTTTGTCTATCTTGTTACCATGTCCAAAAGAAATTTTGGGTTATTTAGAAAAGGTTTCGATAAAATTTGAAGCTTGTTTTTCATTGGCAATAAGATGGTTTTTAAGATTAAATCTTCTATATATTTTCATTCTGTGTAATGATAGATTATTTGTCAATGTTCCACGTTGTACTGAAAAATACTTCTAAAAATTGGTTTTCATGGATTATAAAAATAACAACCAGCAACGTATTAAGTCTTTCAAATAAACCCAACATCAAGTAATTCCCTTGCATGTTGGTTTAATTTTGTCGTTTTGTTTTTGTTTTGGTAACAAGAACGTACATTAACGATATATCCCCATATTAAGTTCTATCCTGATACCCTTTTTGTCTATCCTGTTACCGATAGCAGTATTGCATTTTGTATATGCTAACTTGCAAAGATTAAGACGTTGTCACCTTTGAATGAGGTCAAACAACCAAACATTTCGTTATGTGTAAAATAATATTTAATTGTATACTTTTGAAAGACGTTTTAGTCAAATATTGTCTATCATGTTACTGTACAGTAACCGTAATAATAGGATAGACAAATCAGGATAGACAAATTTCTTTATTTATGAATTCTGTTGCGAAATAACTACCCCCTTTGATGCAGTGATAATGTTTTTCTTCACGTAGTTCCACTTTTTACAAGTCTAATGTTGTTGTAATTAATAAATTCATTGGTAACAGCATAGACATGATAAAAGGGTATCCACTAATTTTTGTCACTAAATGTCTTGAATTTCCTTTTCTCTTCATTGTTATGCAAGAAACGTGCTGTGTCAAATTTTAGGATGCTTTTGTGCCTTTGAAATCATCACTGAATAGTTCCATATTCATAGGGAGAAACAATTTAACGGTTGATCTAGTAGCGGCAACAGCATAGACATACATTTCATGCACGCCATTGAGTTTAGATTTTCCGTTAGAGTTTTCATTTACATTCTAAAATAGTTCCTTTTGCAAAAATCAAGGCAATTAGAAAATAGGAAAAAATCATTTGAAATGTGCTACCCTGACACTGTACGCACATAAATCACGCCAAAATCGGACTTAAATATATTTTAATCTTATCAAAATAGATCTATATCGTGTTTATTTTTGATGTTCTGACTCATAAAAATCCTACAAACTTTCATTTAAACACTTACAACTGCATTTTCAATTTAAAATTAAAAAATAGCATAGGTGTACTGAAAATTGTTTTGAAAATGACCCATATTTGTCACCGGCATTTGAAATACTATTACTAAGGAAAAAGTAAAATAACAAAAATACCGAACTCTAAGGGAAATTCAAAACGGAAAGTCCTAAAACGCAAAATCAAAAGCTCAAACATCTAAATAATGGAAAACAACTGTCATATTCCTGAGTTGGTACAGGCATTTCCTTATGTAGAAAATGGTGGATTAAACCTGGCTTTATAGCTAGCTAAACCTCTCACTTGAATGACAGTCGCATTGAATTCCATCATATTGACAACAATGTATGAGTAAAACAAACAGACATAATAGGTAAAAACGTCAATAACTGAGGTACAGCGGTCAACATTGTAATATAATCTTGATCAAACTATAAAAACAAATAACTGTTTCGACAAAGAAACACAAAATGGCATATAGACAAAGTACATAAGGAAAAATGAAAAACAAGAATTTAAAATTGACCATAGCACAATAACACAATGGCGGGATGTATTAGAACCGAGCCACGTCATGAGTATAATAAAAAATGGACTAAACAGTAAAGATTAAAAATATACAAGGACAAAAATAGTGGAAAATTTAACACGTAATTAAGATGATAAACAACGTCAGTACCTAGAATCTATACCTCAAGAGCATCAGGTAGTATTTGTGAAGTTGATACGGAATATTTATCAATAAGGTCTTTGTATCTTCCAATGATTTTTTTTAGAAAAAGGACGAGACGTTCTTTGACATAAACGTGGCTCATCAACTTTCTGCTCAGACACTGGTGACGTTTTATAAAGTCTGGGTAGCAGCTGCAAGCTTTTGAATACCGAATGAAATAAAGGTGTTTAGTATTGATATGGGTTTTTTTCCGCATGGTTGAAGGCAATAGGGTGACATATAGTTGCTTACACCTACGTCAATTGGACTTTGGTGGATTGGTTTTCATACCACAACTCCTTATTTTTACATTTATTTTGTCATTAAACGTTCAAGTTCAAGATGAGTGATATGTTTCTGATAGATTTATGAATTAAGACAAGAACCAGTCAAACTTTATTGCATCATCGTTGTTTTTCACTTCTATAACAGATGTATTTTAACCCACAAAAACACACAAAAAACAAAAAACAACACAAAAACAACAAAAACACGAAAATAGTTATATTAATTACATATAGAAAAGACACTTATACAGTTATTAAGTTGCATACCACGGACCTATACGAATGTCTTTTCTGTCAAGTAATTCATTAAATAAAATACTTTTAAATGGAAAACAAAGCATATCAATCTAAAATGATTAATACCTTCAGTTATCGGTTAAGCGGCAAACATCTCTTGATGGCAACAATCATATAACATACAAGTATGACACAGATTTAAGTGTTCACTATACAAGCTACAGGAACAACGTTCGTCTTCTTTACAACAAAGAAGAAAGTTTGGGCAGCATAATGCATAAAACGTTTGTAAGCATCACATCCAAAAGGTTAACCCAAGAAAAGCCTTAATCGTTAAAGTCGTTCTTTTTTAATTAGGGAGTATTAATCACTTATTTAATACAACTAAACAATGCTCAACTGAAAATTAAATCAAAAGGTAGAAATCTGAATAATACCAAATACAATAGCATGGGACACTGGGTGAAGCATAGTCTAACAGTGAGTAATATACTCAGCAAAAAAAAAACACCACTGCCATGTATTTCTTTAAGTAAAATTTTCTATGATTACATAAAGCTTTTTGAAAAAGTGATTGAAATGAGTCAAAATTTTGACATAACGTTTCTCAAATTAGAATTTTCTTAATTTAAATTTTTGACATCTTAAAAACACATTTTAACCCCCCTCCCATATGCAGTGTGAATCTTTTCAACTAAAAACAACGAAAATGACTAATTATCATACAGCCTCTCGAAAAAATTCCTCTATAATGACCAATTTGAGATTGACTTATCTCCGATTTTATATATTTGACTTTAGTTGATGACATTCTATCGTCGCTACTAATAAATGAATATTTCTCTGTAAACTCTGAATTCATTTTAAGGTTATGCTTAAAATATACTAGATTTCTACTGATTTGCAGCAAAACAAGTAGTTGTGAAACTGCTATATACGGTATGTTATTTTGTTGTTAAGTATCCTTATTAGTGTAATGTCCTCGATAGCCTCAATCTTGTGAATAGAACAAACACCTGTGCTGTCAAAGTTCTAACGTATTGAATTTTTGTAATTCAGAGTTAATCTCAACTAATCTCAATTGTAAAATTTCCAGTAAATTAAAATGTTAATGTCTCTGAGATATTATTCATGTCAAAAGTATTTGCATGCAGCTGACGGGGAAATGTATAACATTTAAATAACACACTCGGATACGTGTTCGCCTTTTACCCATATGCCTTTAAGGGGTGTGGCTATTTAATGCTGAGAGAAACTGGATGGATTCTAGAAGTATGATTCATTTGACGGACTCTTATGAAAAGGAAACGAACACATATCTTTTGTTATTGTATTCATCAAAAAGTCAACCGCTGATACCAGACTTAAACACATAATTTAGTTTTCCAAACCCGTGCTTCGTCTATATAATACTAACCAGAGACTCTCGAATCAAAACAGTTTGAGGATGAAAATAATAGTTAATAAATGTGTGTTTCCAAAGAGCTGTTCTTGATTTACTTTCATCATGAACGCTCAAACCAAAAATGTTAATGGCTAAATTAAGAAGTTAAAGAGCATTGTAAAACGAATACAAACAGTTGTGTTCAATAAAGACATGTATGCCCGAGGTAGATAAACCTTCGTGTTTCGAATTATCTTAATGTTCTTAACCATTAAAATTACAGAAATGATCACAATAATTACACGACTACTGGGTTTGTTGCACCTGTTGGGTGATTCGCCCACCAGTACAGTCAGGATTCTACTTCGTCAAAATTATCTCCCCATTACGCCACCTAATTTTTATAATCGTAAAAATGGAAGCCATGCATTGTAGTGATGACGCGCTGTCAATTTAGCTCTTGAAAACCGATAAATTTATCCACGTAGTATCATTACGATCC